GGGCTCTGACAGACCCCATCGCCCGTCACGGTGATCCCACCATCCCTGGGACACGGTCCGGCTGCTCCTTCAGGGTTGYTGGCTCTGCTCCATCAGAGCCCTGAGGATGGGGGTCCACCCCGAGGATGGGGGTCCATGCAGGGTGCTGGGGGCTCTCCCCCCAGTATTCCAGGCCCATTTTTTGGATGCCGTGGAAGCAAAGAGGCCGGGGCTGCCCCGCTCCAAGTACAAGGGTATTTATTTCATGGGTACAAGAGAGAGACAGCACCTTGTGTGTGTTTTGGGCTCTTCCCGGTTACTGGTTTGTACATTCAGAGCTTCGGCCGGGGCAGGGAAGGGCAGCAGGTCCCACTCGGCCCCCCCCAGCACCAGGGTGGGTGGTTGCCAGTGGGGACCCCCCCAGTGCCCCCCGTGCCGTGGGCGCCCGAGCCCCGGCGCCCCGTGCGAGCGTGTCTTGAGTGCTGAGGTTGGCTGTGTGCTCCTCCTCCGTGCAGTCTGTGCGGGGCAGCAGCGCTCCCCGCCTTCCTCCCTGCCCTCCTCCTCCTCCTCCCCTGCCCGCGGGGGGGGCCGGGACCCCCGGCCCTCATTTCCTCGTGTGCAGCGTGTCCTGGAACTTGGTGCTGGTGTAGCGAAGGTGGAAACCCTTCTTGTTGATGGTGTCGTCCGAGTGGAAGCGGATCATCACGGAGTCTCCGGCCGAGTAGATCTCCTCGGGGGGCTGCGAGGGCAAAGGAAGGGGTGCTCGGATCCGTGGGCATTCCCGGGATGTGTGGGCACGGTGGGAGGGAAGGGGTTTGCAGTGGGGAGGGTGCAAATCATTGCACCATCCTGAATTCCGACGGGGATTTCTCCGTGCTGCTCTGGCTCGGCCTCACCCATCACCCTACACCCTCACACCGCCCTAACCTTCCCTAATCCCAACCCTAACGCTAATCCAACCCCACATCACGTTCCCCCTTCCTCCCCAGCTCACCCCGGAGCCGCAGAAGCGGCCGAGGCGCGGGGCCGTCCCGTCGTAGCCGTCGAAGAGCTCCATGTAGTCGTATCCGCAGTCGGCTTCCTCCTCGATCTCAAAGGTCTGGAAAATGAGCTCCACGCCGAACCCCTCCTCTGCCATGATCACCCACTCGCAGTCCGAGCCCCCCGGGTAGTTGTTGTCCCCGAATTGTGCGTGGGAATACAAGTCCTTGGTCTTCACCTCGGCACGGACCTGGCCCCCGCACACTGGGGGAGAAGCCGGGGTTTAGGGGCAGCCACGCTCTCCCCACGCCCCACGGCCACATTTCCCAGCCCCACGGCGCTACCTGTGGTGTGGGCGGCCTCGAATCCCTTCTTCTGGACGGAGTTGTCGGAGACAAACTTGAGGAACATCTTGTTGCCCGAGGAGACGATGGGCTCGGGCTCCTTGGCCCCGCAGAAGCGGCCGAGCGCCGGGGCCTTGGCGTCCTTCCCGTCGTAGATCTCCAGGTGGTCGTAGGCGCATTCCTGCTGCGCCTCCACGTCCAGCTCCGAGAAGGTCTGTGGAAGGTGACGGATGGAGTTGCTGGCGCTCAGTGGGGCTCAGTGGAGGGCACCCCAGCGCTTCCCACCCCCCAGTCCCTACCAGCTTGACGCGGTGCCCCGGCGTGGTGCTGATGGCCCAGGTACACTCCTTCTTACTGGGGTATTTGTCGGGCCAGTTGGGGCTGGTGATGGTCCCGGAGATGGATGTCACCTTGTGGTCACAGCCGGCTGGCAGGACAACGGAAAGGGTCACAGATGCATGGAATGGGGGCGTCCCACAGGGACGGGGTGCGGGCTGGACCCACCTTCCTTGCAGTCGTGCTTGTTGTCGTGCAGCACGAAGCCGCTGCGGCACTGGCACTCGTAGCTGCCG